TGGCTTGTATCCCATTTACTTCGGATTGCAGAGAAAAGACTATCCAGGATATCACGTGGCCCCGTGGCTATCATGTCATCCACGTATACTCCGAGAAGCGCCACTGGCCTTGAGTCCGGATCATCTGCCAATCTGACGTGCCAAAGGTTTTGATCTGCTCTAGATCTTACCAGCTTGAAGCATTCGTGTCCATGTTGGATTTGGATGTCCGGGAGCTCGGAGTCTCTGTAGGCCGACCATGCAGCAGGGGCTTCTCTCAAGCCGTATATCGCACCTGTAGCATACCACAGCTCTTGCGGATGCGCTATGCCTGCGCTGATTAAGACCTTGGGTGGCCTCAACACCAGGATGCGGTTGCTCTGCTCTAGCGGCGCCAATAAAAACGATGTGCGTATGTCCAGCGCTCCAGCTGTCCACCTGCAGTCACGAGCCTTCTGATGACCACAGTGGGCAAGTTGTGTCCGAAGACTTGTGGAATCGATGCCTCCAGCATATGTAGATCCCGGTTCCTCCCCATTGCCAGCCTTAGCGAAGTTCCCGCACGCCACTATTCTGGTCTTGTGGCAGAAACTCCGCCGTCTTGCCTTGCCTGATCCACTGCTCAACCTCTTCCTTAGAGGTCCGATGCAGTGCTCCATGGCGTTCAAACACCGACTCCAACTCACCACTTATGGATGGTCTCCATTCCTCCACCTTCTCAAGAACTTCTCGATGCGATACTGAAACTGTCTGAAGGGGTGCCGCGGGAACAGCCTCAGAGGCCTTGGGTCCCGGCGGCTTGACCGCTTCAGAGTCACCAGACTCCCCCTCAGGCTCAGTAATAGGTAAGCCTGATAGTGGAACCCATTCATCATACTCATAGCCGACAACTTCAGGTTCTTGGGGGTCAACTCCAAACTTCCGAAGTCTAGCCTTCAAGATAGTGGCCTCGGAGGTTCCCACTTGAGAACGCAATTTGGAGGAAGCATCCCTAACAATGATCCAAGTCTCCAACTCATGGACCCAATCCTTAAGCTCAATCAAGTGATCTACGCTTGCTACCCACCCTTGTTCGGTAGCCGCTTCAAGCTCTTCATCAAAGTACTTGCGTGAGTCCATCTCAATTCTTCCCAATGCCGTGTATTGGTCATGCAGCTCCTCCAAGAAATGGTCCTCCTCAGACCGACACCCCAACTCCGTTTCCCCGTCCAACTCCATTTCCGGTACCCAATTGCTCCCTTCCCCACCTGGCGAAACTCCTGACCTCCCATCCTCCTCTCCTCGATCTCCTTGCCGATCTCCTTGTGTATCCTCCTCCGGAGCCAGTTGTGTTGGTGTCTGCTCCTGCTCCTGATTACACCGAGGCAATGGGAAGCTCAGAGAGCTTAACTGCTGTCTCAGGTTGAGAGAAAGTCGCTCCAACAACCTAGGAGTATACCCCACTAACACCCTACGGTATCCTACAGCAGGCTCCACAGCATGCCAAGCGGAAGGATCAAAGGTGCATACTTGTTGGGAACCTCCTATAAAGTATCCCTGACAA